CTGAGCAAGCCAGACGAAAAACCATACAGACAGCCACATACCCCAAACAAGGCTAAAGTTAGCAAAGGAATATATAGCAACCCAAAGCCAGTAACATCATGACCCTTAATAGCCTACACAATTAGACACTCCATCCACACCAACAGATCTGAGCTCTTGAAATCATCCCACACACCAATGTGACTCTGAATGACAGTAAAGATTATATTAAAAAAAAAAAAAGAAGAAGAAATTCAAAAGCCTCTTAGTCTATAAAGGATACTAGTGTTTGATGTCTCTGGGCCCAAATTAGAGAGGAGGATGAGAAAACCGGAACTGACAGAGTATATTTTAAGGTTTCTTATTACTATCAAGGGGAGCGGGTGTCAAGGCAAAGTGTCAAGGTTAAAACAAAAAGAGCATCTAGAAATAAGGAGCTGCTTGTTTAAAAAATAAAGACCATAAAGTCTTTAAGCAACAGTCCTCATTGTCTTATTTGATAGATCCTACACCATCCAAAGGGGAAAACACAGGTATTCCTTGACCTTTATGCAGACCTTGGTCCGTTTCCGCTAAAATATTTCATTTTCGGTCATATTTATAAGCCTTCATTTTCAAGGTTTTTAAGTCATTTTTGTCCCAAGGGTCCCATTAGCAGTCTGGTAAAGCCTGCTGAGCCCTCCTAAGAAAAGTGTTTTTAAGTGCATAACGTCAAGTCCAAAGGATTACAGGTGAAGTCAGTTATACTTAGTTATCAAGATAGTTTTAAATTGTGATACAATAGCATGTATAGTCTGTATTAATGCAGTAAATAACAATTCTAGCAGCAAGTTTGTTTGTCGCCTATTCTCATGATTGAATGAAGTGCTAAATCTCAGTTTGAGTTATAGTGAAAACTGAAATGCAACTTTTCCCCCAAGTTCAAGGACTCCCTAGATTGCATCTGTGGACCCTAAGTTAAAAACCTTTGGTTGAAAGAGCCAATAAAAATACCTTTGTGAAACATCAAATGAAAAGTAGAGCCTTGCAAAATATACTATCCATTCAACTGCAAGGTTAGAGAAACAAAGAGTATAAGCAGTCTTTTCCCAAAAACCACGATAGGCCATTAGTCAGCAAGAGAGCAGCATGCCTCAAACAAAATCCAGAAAGGTATTCAGCTCCCCCTCATGCAAGTCACAAAAATACAAAACAAAACAAAACAAAAAACCCAACCCCTGACGCTCTGAGGAACTGACAGCACTGAAGGGGGAAAGCAGTGACCTGGCAGTGCAGGGCTCCCGCTCAGCCACAGGTCAAAACAGTCTCCTCCCTTCCTGCAGCCTGTTTCTCCATTAGTAAAATAAAAGGGCTGAATGTGTACCAGGACTTTTTAGGCTCCTTCAGTTCTAAAATTCTATCAGATTATCTATTCCTTATGCTAGCTATTTCAACTGACTCAGCTTAATTTAGAAACATCACTGCCTTTCTTAAACTTGGAACAGAAGGTTTTAGCAAATTTAAATGCCCTCATGTACAGACTAACACCAATGAGCCAAATACATATATGCTTATGCTACTATAACTTTTTTAAAAAAAACAGCCTGTTTTGCACCATCTAATTCATAAAAAGTAATCACAACGTTGGTCTTTTCTGCAATTTAAATGAAGTTCCCATTCAAATTCTAGCACCATCAGCTCAAGAATATACAAAATCAACAAAATCCAAGGTACCTAGAATACACTAATTATGTGTTTTCCACTCTTCAGCCAATGAACAGCATTATAGGGTACATACAGACCAGGGAGGCCCTTGATGACAACTTAATCCCATCACATGTCATTCCTGCGAAAAAAACAGAGACGGAGTGTGGGACTAAGCCAAAATCACAAAGCCAGCCTACAAGAAAGCAGGAATAAAATCAAGGTCTCCTGACTGTCTTCAGGTTCTCCCCGCTACACTGGACTGCCTCTCAAACCCTGACACACTTCCCCAACTTCAACAGTGTAGCCAGATTTAAAATAGACAGTGAAAAAGACCTAACAGACCAATCATTTTCCCTACCTTCAATTACATCATGGGCAAAACAAAAAGTTGCAGCTGTGATACGTTCACTGGTTAGAGTCATGAAATAATTAAATTCCACTTACCTGCCAAGAAAGTGATGACCCTACTAAAATCCTAAATACCTGGAAATTCCCTTAATATTATGTAACACATGAAAAGATGCATAAGCATTTCTATATGGACACATACACATACATATATAGACACACACACACGGACATATACATTTACACACACTGTTCCTGTCTGTGCTCCAGGATTTCTCAGTGACATTTTACTATAAAATTTAAAAGAGAACCAGTAAGAACAGTCAGATGACAGTTTCAAAAAAGAAGAGAGCCTTCCTTGTACTTTATAAAATCTTGTCAATACCGAGGCTTTTTTTTAATTTTTATTGTATTTTTTCCATTATCACTTAGTCCTCTTGTACCCACCTCCCCCAGCAATCACCACACTGTTGTCCACATCCATGAGTCCTTTTTCCTTTTTGCTCAATATTGAGCATTTTTAGATCTCAAGATTAATTTCATCAATAAGAAAATCAAACACAAATTCTCTTTATGTCCTAGATGACGAGGCATGCAAAGTTGATATTATTTTTTATTTGACTGTTATTGCTGTCTTAAGAAGGAGGACACAGTCTCAAGTCCTAAGGGTAGGATATGAATTAAGGGTCTTTTTAAAGTTTACCTATCTTCTCACTATTCCCCCGGCATTCTTTGATGTATTCAATATTGCTAGAGAGTCAGAAACCTACTCTCAAAAAAGAAAAGAAAAAGACTACAATTCTTCTCAAGTATTCAAAAACCAAACTAGCATCTCCTTAGCATTCTGGTCTCAACTCACATTTCACTTCCTCAGAGACTTGCCCTGACCTCCTAAAGAAAATACCTGCCTAGAGCAGACATTCCCTAGGTTAACCCACTTCTGTTGCTGAATACTTGGAACACCTGAAACTCATTTACTATTCATTTGTTTACATGTTTCTTTCTGTTTATGCCTGCCACCCCACACTATAATGAAAGCTCCTTGTTCCCTGCTGATCCTCAGTGCCTACACAGTGCTGGCACATAGCAGGTGCACATGGAGTTGCTGAGTGTCATACTCGGGCTCTCCTGGAAAAGCATTAGGGAACATGCCATTGGCCGTGCACCGACGGAGCCGACTTTAGAGTAAGCCTATGACACCAGGACAATCCAGGGCATAAATCCTTTCCAGGGCGTTGAGCGCCCTGCACTTCCAGCTATGAACCCAAAACCTCTCAGGCCACTCACACATTGCTTTTCTAAAACATCTCAACGATGATTTCCTCTAAAGGAAATAATGAAATAAAGTTCTGGCGTAAGTTAATCTTTCCTGTCAGGTTCACCATGTTAAACCTACCTTGAAGGTAGCCACACAAACAAAACCAAACTCCACAAAATCAGGTTGGGCTGAGGTTACAGAAGAGAAGCTAAACTCTGGCTTTTTTCCTGTCATCTCTCCCTCCTTCCAGTGAACCTTAACATCTGTCTTTTAAGTGCAATTAGATGCAGGTGAGAAAAAACGCTTATTTGCACATAGCTTCAAACTAGGCAATGAGATTTCCAGTAACACTGCACTTAACCCTGTAGCAACAAAGTGAGGAGGACTAGACAACTTTGAGCTGTCCTGTGTCTGGAAGTTTCTCTTAAAAAATCTTTTCTCTAAAACTATTTTTAAGTCGCCAGACACTTCAAGGTATTCAGTTATCAAAACACTTTCTTCGGAGCTGTGAGTGTTCCCATTCTCATGATGCCCCACCTGTGTGCTAAGCCCACTTATCAGCACCCATGATGTTGTGAGTACAGGGAGGACAAAAGCGCGGGTCCCCGGGAGTGACACGTACTAAGGAAAAAAAATAATCCTTTCTCCTCCAGTACTAAACCCAAGCTGCTTTCTCCTGAGTTTCCTGCGCTTCCCCCTCCCCACTCCTCTCCCCTTTCGCTGCCCACTTTCCAGCTTTCATCCGGCGAAGCACCCCTCCCGGCTTATTAAGGGGAAACAATAGAAATGTCACAAGGAAACTCGGGAAGTAGATGAAGTCTCTAACTGCTTCTGTTTAACGATCGTGGATAATTACTAGCTTCAAAATGTGGTTTTCACAAGCGGAGAGGGAGCGAGGCAGGCGAGGCTAGCGAGCTCCCCGCCGCCGGGAGGACATCTGCGAGGCCGCAGCCCGGGGTGGAAGGACCGAGGGGGTGCGGCCAGCAGCGGCCGCGTCCCTGTCCCTCCAGGACGCTCACGGCGCCGGGCGCCGAGAGCCGAGGGCCTGCTAGCCCGCCCGGGTCAGAGACAGTTCACGGCCCGCGGGCAGCGGCTGCCCGCCGCGGTCACCGTAACAATATGCTAAGGGCTGCCCGCGGACGCCCACCGCGCAGCTCCCTCAGCCCGCCTCCGCGGCCGAGCCGGCTGCTCCTCGCTCGGAGTTCGCGGCCCCGGGCCCACAGTGCGCGGGGAGAGAGGGCGCCCCGGCGCCGGGCCTCGGGAGCCTCTCAGCTCCTCCAATCGGGGGGTCTCCTGCGACACAGCGAAGTGTCTGCAACGGTGACGCCTCAGCCCCGGCCCCTACCGACCCTCCGGGGACCGGCGCGCTTGGGGAAGTAGAGCCCCTGTCCCTACGGTACTATCACGGACTTTGTCCCCGAGCACTGAACGCCGCGGGGCGTGGGGTCGCCCCAGTCCCCGCCGCCGCCTCCCGGGGGCCGGGCCCGCTCCTCCACTTCCTCCTCCGCCGCCGTCCTCCGTGCGGATAGCGCATCCCAGCTCCCGCCTCAGCGCCCGCCGTCCCAGCCTTCCGAGCCGCTCCAGCTGTTCCCAGCGCCCTGGTGGTCCCCAAAGGGCGCCCGAGCCACCCCGCTGGCACCGCTTCGGGATGCGGGCGCGCGGCGACTACCAGTCCGGAGTGAACGCCGCCCGCCCCAAGCTCCCCGAGGTCGGGGATGCCCGGACTCACCCCAATACCACCAGCTCCCCGTATTTCACCGGCTCCTTATTGGGGGCGCAGTGTTCCTCCTGGTCGGGGGAAAACATGGAGCCCCGCTCGGCCGCCGCCGCCGCCGCCGCCGCCGCCTCCGCTGCGATCCCCGCTGAGTCCGCGCCGCCGCTACAATCCCATCCCGAGAAGGGGGTGAGTGCGCCGGGAAAGGGCACGGCGGCGAAAGGGGCGCGGGGCGGCCAGTCCCGAGGCTGCTCCGTCGTGGCTGCGCGGCTGCCCCGCCGGGCTCCCCGGAGCTCCGCGAGCCGCGGCCGCCCCGAGCCAGACTAGACAACAAATGGGACTGGGCAGCGGGGGACCTGCCCGCGCCGAGCGCCGCCGCCGCCGCCGCCGCTGCTGACGCCCCGCGGGAGGGAGGAAAGGAACAGGATAAGGAAGGAGGAGCGGGGGCAGCGCGCGGGGGAGGGGCGGGGGCAGGACCGTGGAGCCGCCCCGCCGCGCGCAGGCAGGTGGGAGCAGCCCCGCCCCCAGCAGAGAGCCCGCAGCCCCGGACCCGCGGTACTCCCTCCCACTGTGCGTGGGGCCTCCCGCGCCCACTCCCCGCCTTCCCCCGCCGGGCCCCGCGGTGGATCAGCCCCCATGTTATGTAAACATAGAGTAAAGGGAAAGGAAGTTCTTAAAGGAGCAGCTCTATTTTTCCCCCCCTCGCTTCCTTTCCTAAACTTACAGCACTGCGTCCTCAGCCCTCGCTCCCGAGTTTTCCAATCCCTGAGGGCTGCGCAGAATCCCCAAAGCGCGATCGTCCAGGTTCTTAGGTAGCCAATTTCCCAGGTTTAAATGTAAATAAAGAACTTTCTTTCGCGAGTATAAAGGCATTTGTTTTCCCGGTGTCGCTATGTCGCGGCATACATCTGAAGGTGTCGCACACCCGCACCTGCATGTCTCCTCTAACAAAACCAAGTCCTTCAAAGCTTGAACACGTCTAGAAATTGGTTCTGGGTTAGAGGGAGTTTTGAAGGTACTTGGAGCACCCCGCCACCCTACAGGATGTAGCTACCGGGTTCGTCGTCAGCAGGTTTCTACATGATTTTTTTTTTTAAAGCAAAAGTTTTTGTTGTTGTTTTTTAATCCATGCTCTATCCACTTTTCCCATACTTTTTCTCAATTCCTTAAGGAATTTAAGAGGAAATTACCTGGGTGAACTTTTTAGTGAATATAAATGTTCCATTATCATCACCATAATTTAGTCAATGCACTATGTTTGCTTTTTATACTTTTCTAAATAGTTACTGCTACTGCTTCAAAATATTTTAGCGTATAATAGGTTTACTGACTGCTGTTTTCATCATGCAGGATTTTATTGTTACCATTTATTAAGCATTCACAACATGCTAGAAACTCTACATATTATTGCCAGTCACTGCCTCTCAAGACTATTAAATATTTAAAGAAATAAATACTGCAAAAGCTGCCCTATGTATAAACAGTGGCTGGTTGGCTATGACCCTAAGAAAGGGCTGGGAAGAAAACAATTGCATCTGTAACCTTCCATGCCACGATCGACAGCCTTTGTCTAACCTTCTCTGACAGGTTATTACTGTAGTGACATGATGCCTCAGGAAAATTGAGGCTTTAGAGATAAATTATTTCAAAGTAACTAAAACTACACTGATGGTAAGCCCAAAACAAAGCAAAACATAATTTTAAACAATTAACTTATTTCAGCTAAGGATAGAAATTCTATCCTTCAACTGAATACAGCTATTCTGCAAACTTTACCTATTCCATATATATGTATATATTAATACATATATATATTCTGTTATAGTTTTAATCAACAATACTTCATTAAAGGGTCAAATTCTTTCCCATGACTAGTATGCTGGGGTGAATTTCTGTCTGAATTTCTGCTTGATTAATGTTGTCTTCTTCTATCTGCTTACGCTTCTGCTTACCATACAGATGTGTGGCTAGCAAACATCTGTCAGAATCATGTCACAATTCTGCAGTCCCCACTGTGGTAGTACCTGGCTCTGTCATTCTAACTTCTCTACCCTTGGTCTGTTGCTGCTACTGCTCTCCAGGCTACAATTACTTCCTCCTCCTCCTCTCTTGGCATGCTGTGCTTTTGTGCATTGCATTACACTGTTCTGGCTCCATTTCTTCCTCACTGTGCTCTGCATCTGCTCTTAGGAGGATGGAAACAAATATTTATTAACCTCCTACTAAGTTCCAAACACTAGGCTGTGAGTTTCCCTTAAGACGTCCCTTTTAAGGCCCTCTGTTCTATCTGCCCATGGCACCCCTGACTTCCAGGGGAGGGGAGGGATCTCTTCCTACTTCCCCAGCATGCTTTTGAGCATGTTTGTAGTGCTTAATGAGGACTGTCTTTATCAGAATTGCTTACAGGAAGTGTTGCTTTGAATGAGTTTTGTATCAATGGAGGCTTTTTATCCTATACAGCTCAGGGCTGACACACCAGTTTTGTAAATCGCTCTGAGATGTGAAAACCTCAGGAATGTGTGCAGGGGCCAGGAATGGAAATGCAAATGGACAAATGGACTGAGTGAGGACTGTGGCAAATTGGTGAGCCTATGCCACCTAAAATGGCATCTGTCACTCATCTCCAGCTGATTATTGCCATTTGACAATATCAGCTCACTGTTGCTAAATTTAATTTTTTTAAGCCCCAAATCCTGATTTTTGTGCCAAATCTCTCAATATTTAACTATCATCAACTCATTCAAGCTTTTTGGGGTTTTTTGGGGTTTTTTTTTTAACACAGCATGGCCCACCAAAATCATGTCTATTTTCTAGCCCAAGATCACCAAATTTGCTTTCTCGGATTTCAAGGAAACATATGTAAGTGAAGTTAATAGAACACAAATTAACTAGCGTACAAAATAGAACCACAGGCATGGAAACATGGAACAGGCTGAAAGTGACCAGAGGGGAGGGGGGAGGGGATAATGGTGCAAAGAAAGGGAAGAGACTAGACAAAGAACATGTATGAATGACCCGTAGACGTGGACAACAGTAGGGGGATTGACTGTGGGGGGCGTGGGATGGGTGGAGGAGGGCAAAGGGGAAAAAATTGGGACAATCTGTAATACAATAACAATTAAAAATGATTTAAAAAATAGAACACATCTCACGTGAGAATAAATGGCAAGGCAGGAAGGGAAGCTGAGCAGTGAGACGTAAACATGATTTTCTCAAAGAGTCCCTGTTTGTGTCCCTATGGAAGCCAGCTTGTACCTTTCTCTGCCCATCCCTTATTTAGAGTTTTCTGCTCACAACTTAAGCCAATTAGAATATCACGCTCCTATCCCCAGCTAATATTTGGAATCTGATTGTAGCATGAATTTATCTCTTCTTGAATGTAATTGTTTTAGTTAGTAGCTCCAGGCTGGTGGGACAATCTGGCTGTGCCATCTGCCAGCCCACTGAAAGCCAGAGTGGGTTTGGCCGACCTGGCTGCCAGGACAAACCCTCCCTTTCCCTCCCTGCTTGCCATTCCATTTCTGTCTCCCCTAAACCACCCTCCTGAAGGGGATGACCCACCCACAGCGCCCCAGAGGGAGTGGACGCTGTTACTGGGACAACGAGAGGCCGTATGTTTACCACACGAATAAATAATGTAAGGTTTTCTCTTCACTTCTCTCCTTGTTATGTCTACCATTATTAAATTAGAATTAAGACATTGTGAAAAAGTTTATGTTTGTCTTAAACATACCTTAAATAAAAGCAACCAAATATCTTCCAGTATTTCTAGGATAAAAAGCCTAATTTTTGGTTACTCTGGATTCTACCTTACAGGTTTGTGTTTGCAAAGACTAAAGAGTAATTTAGTCTTGCAGTATATTTAAAAATACATGTTTAGAAAAACTGATCACCTTTTTTCATGAAACCTAGATCATATTTCATTTTTACATTATACCTATTTTTCCTGATTGAAAAAGGAGTAGGAGCTCTTTGTCAGAAGTTTGGAACACATGAAAAAAAAAGGATTTTTAAAAATCTTATTTTAAATATTCACAGTCTCACTACCCAGAAGTAACCCCATGTAACATTTTTGTGTATTTTCTTCATCGTTTTTACTTTTAATTTTTTGACATAGTAGTAATAATACTGTCTATAATCACACTTTACAGTTTGTTAAATCTTGCCTTTTTTCACTTGATATTATATTGTGAGCAGCTTTCTCTTGTCACTAAAACTTCCTAAACATTTTTGTTATTTTATCATATGTATGAATGTTTATTAACCATTCCCTGCTTACAGAATGTTTGGAAGATATCTATTTTTTGCTCTTATAAATAAACATATTTACACTTGTTATTACTGCATGAGAATGGACTCCTACAAGCGACATTATTACATCAAAGAGTACCAACATTTTTAAGGCACTTTGATGCATATTTCCAAAGCATTTTTTAAAGTGGTTGTGCCTGCCAGTTTATACTGTAGCAGGAGATGGGAAAGCCTGCCTCAGGGAACTCTCACTAGCATCTTTAAATCTTTACTAATTTGACAGGTGGTAATTTTTTATTGCCATTTCTTTGATTGTTATTGTGAGGTTCACTCACTTTTTTTTAATTGTAGAAAAAAAGAACACATAACATGAAATCAACCCTCAACAAAGTTTTAAGAGCACAACACAGTACTGTTAACTCTAAGCGTACTATTGTACAGCAGATCTCTAGCGCTGTTCCATCCTGCGTGACTGAAACTTTATACCCGTTGAACAGTAACTCCCCATTTCTCCCTTTCCCCAGCCCCTAGCAACTACCATTGCCAACTCTACTGCCATGGGTTGACTGCTTTCCATACCTCATATAAGTGGAATCATGCAGTATTTGTCCTTCTGTCTTCTTTAGCAAATTGCTCTCAAGGATCTTCCAGATTGTAGGACATGACAGGATTTTGTTCTTTTCACTAACGTTTCACTGCATGTATATGCCACATCTTTTATCCAACCCTGTTTTGTTGATTTTTTTCTAGTCTCTTTCTATTTTTCTATTTTGTTTATTTTTGCTCTAATCTTTATTTCCTTCCTTCTGCTAACTTTGGGTGTTCTTTGTTGTTCTTTTTCTAGTTCCTTGAGGTGTAGAGTTAGGTTATTTAGTTGAGATCCTACTTTTTCTTTAATGTAGGCACTTAACCACTGCAAAGTTCCCTCTTAGCCCTGCTTTTGCCACATCCCATAAGTTTTGGTATATTATAGTTTCATTGGTCTCCAGATAGCTTCCAATTTCCATTTTGATTTCTTCTTTGACCCATGATTGTTCAAGAGTGTAAGTGTAATTTCTGCATACAGCCTTTTTCAAGTTTCTAATATTCTTTGCTATTGATTTCTAGTTTCATTTAATTGTGATCAGAAAAGGCACTTGGTATGAT